CGTTTCTTTCTAACCCCTACGTCAGGAGACACACACACACACACACACACACACACCCCCGGACAGGCCCCGGCTCTCTGGGCTTCGAGAAGTGTTTCAGTTGCAAAGAATCTATCCCAGTGACTGATGGACACTCAGTGTTACCGCTGGCTGGGAGAGAAACACATCCAACAGAATTGTGGTTTGGTCCAGAAACTGAAGCCCAGATCCAGAAAAGACAGAGAACCGAGGTTCAAAGTCCTACTCTTGGAGGCAGCCCTTCAGCGGTCCCCTGGAGAGTGAGAAACCTTACCACAACCTTCTACTTCAAAGGGAGGTGAGCCCAAGTAGATGTCCATGAGCCACTCACGTAAGGCCTCTACGAAAAGGGCCATGAGTCCCCACAGTGAGCCATGATCAAGCCGAAAATGATCTCCGGCTCAATCAGTATCATCAGTACAGATGGCACCAAAGCCATCTAAATCCAGAACCTAAGGCTCTCGCATTACTGTCCCAATAGAGCATGCTGGGTTGCTTAAGGAATCAATGGGAACAGAAAGGAACTCTCAGGGGAAGGCTCCTGTGGCACAGACATTGACATTGGTATCGCTTGTGGCACACCAGGCACCAACAATCTGCATACTATCAGGTCCACATCACCGACTCCTTCAGAACAGGCACCTCAGCACCGACCTCCACCACTGGTATTGACACCTTCCAGTACACGACAGAACTTTCTATGTCTGACACATCGTATTCGCCTCTGCTCAGTACTTGGGACCTGGTACCAAGTTCACTCGGAACTTTTGACTCTCCGACGACCTGTTGTCATGCACCACCCTTTTCATCCTCAGATTCAGAAAGTGAGCAAGAGGACGCAGTCTCCCGGTGCTCTTCTCACCCGCCGTATGATGCCCACATTCACTGTGATGGGTTCCCCCTGGGGTGCAACCTGGAAATGGGGTACCACTGAGCCCCCCTTGACCCACCAGACTGGTCTCCCTTTACACTGTACTGCTGTGACCAGCCTGCCAAGCCTTCTCCCAGGCTCCAGCACACATACAGGTAGGGACACACCCAGCTGCAGTACATACAAACTGCTGTGATCAGCTCTGCACGAGGCGGTTACAGCTAAGGAACTGCCCAGCTGTTCAAGTGCACACCCCCCATCTGGAGTGTAAACCCAAAATTATACCATCTTATGCTGCAAAGAGATCTATGCAGTGTAAGCTCATGACATTTGCCCCCTCCCTCAATGTGAAGAGGAAATATACAACAGCTATTTTTCCCAACGTATGACTCCCACACACTGGTTTCTGATAAAACAAAAACAAATATATTAACTACAAAAGATTAAGTGATTATAAGGGATACAAACAGATCAAAGCAGATTACCTAGCAAATCAACAAAAACACAATCTAAGCTTAATATACTAAAGAGATTGGATAGGAGTATCAGATTCTTACCCTAAATGATGATTCAAGCAGGCCTCAGAGATTCTTAAGTGGCCAGCTGCACTTGCTAACAGCTTAAAAACCCCAGGTGTTCCTTTCACAGATTAAAAAACTCCTTTAGCCTGGGTCCAGCACTTCCACACCCAGTTCAGTCTTTGTTCCTCAGATGTTTCCCAGAGTCTCTTTGGGTGGGGAGTTAGTGAAGAACCACAGTGATGTCGCTCTCCTGCCTTAAATAGCTTTTGCATATGGTGGCAGCCCGTTGTCTCCAAGTTTCGTTCCCATGCCAGTCAGTGGAAAACATTGGTTTTCCAAGATGGAGTCCAGTAACAGGTGACTTGGTCAACTGAACCCATAGTGTCATAGCAGCGCTGAGTCAGAGGCTGTTTACTGTGTCCTCAGGAAGACCCCCCCAGGTGGGAGATAAGATCCTTGTAAGGTCTGTTGTTCTCCCTAATGATTCATTAACTGGAATGGGCCCTTCCCAGCCAGCCATCTAGACTGACAGTCTTTTGCTAGTGGGCGTTCCCCAGGTGTAAATACATTTGTAATACAGATACATTGTTAGTATTCCTAACTTCAGATACAAAAATTATACATGCATACAAAAAGGATAATCATATTCAGTAAATCATAACCCTTCCAATGATATCTCACATGACCTATCTTGCATAAAATACATCAGAATTATCCCATAATCATATCATCATATTATCACTGTGAAAACTATGGGGTGCAGTGTCACACTCCCTATTAACAAGGCACTCTTGAACCCAGCCAAAATCATATGGCAGACCCCCATGTCTGTCCCACCAACATGTAAAAGGGCTGAGGAAAAAGTATTGCACGCTGCTGAAAGACATGGAGTTTCTCTTCTCCCACCCACCTCCCAGTTGATCCTAGTGGATGCAGTCAACTCAAAGGGCTGCCAACACCAATTTAAATTCACCCCCTATGGCTGGAACTGGAAGGTCGGGATCTTTTTGGCAGGAAAACATGCTCCTTAACCACTCTCCAGTTCTGCATGGCAAAATACAATTATCAGAATTACTTAAAACTGAAATCCTTTATTGAGCAGCTCCCAGATTCTCATAAGGAACAATTGAAGACCAATGTCAATGAAATCCACCTGGTGGCTAAAGCATCTCTCCAGTCTGCACTTGATGCAGCTGACCCAGTGGCATGTTTCATCTTGACTGCCATCGTGATGAAACGAGATTCTTGGTTTCACCTATCCAGCTTCCCAAATGAGGTTCAAACGACTGAACAGGCCCTTCCTTTTAAAGGGACAAAGGGAAATGTTTGTGGAAAAGACTGACACCTCCCTCCACACCTTAAAAGACTCCAGGGCTACTCTTCAATCCCTCACGATCTTCACACCTGGGTTTAAGAGAAAATATAGCCTTCAGCCATCATTTAAACCCCACTCATCACAATATCCAGCTCAGAGGTCATATGAACCTCAGAGGAAGAAGTCCAGGTTCCCTAGGTGGAAACCATTGTGTTCGCAACCCACTTCCTCTCAACCTTCCACCTCAAAGCAACAGCTTTGACAGGTTGATCAAAGTGCCCATAGAACATTCTCCTCAACATCACCTGATCCTGGAAAATCTCACCCCTCTCTTTGGATGCTGTCTCTCCCCATTTCGCAGCACCTGAGAGTGGATAACCTCCAACAAGTGGTTGTTGGAGATCATTTGAGATAGGTACTCCATCCATTTCACCTTCCCTGTCCTTCTTCAGAGACCCTTCTCACGAGAGCCTATTAGGAGAGGAGCTATAGAGTCAGAGCACATACATCTAAGAGGCATATCTATTCTTCTTACTTCCTGATTCCTAAGAAAAAAGGAGATTGGAGACCCATCCTAGATCTCAGAGTACTCAACAAATTTGTCAAGGCTCAGAAGTTCAAGATGGTTACAATAGCAATAATCATTCCAGTGTTAGAAAAAGGAGACTGGTTCTCAGCCCTTGACCTTCAAGATGCATATTTCCACATCTCAATCATACTGAGTCACAGACGATACCTCAGATTTACATTAGACCAAGACCCCTACTAGTGCTCCCTTTTGGTCTCTCATTGGTCCCCAGAGTATTCTCCAAGGTCCTTGCAGTAGTGGTGGCCCATTTACACTCCCAGGGCATTATGATTTATCCTGACCTGGATGATTGTCTTCTCAGCGCATGTTCCTTTGCCAAAGCCCAACGAATCACCATTCCACACTGGATCCATTCTAGAATCTGGGCCTTCAAATCAATGCACAAAAATCAACATTAACTCTTGTACAGAGGCTAGAATTCATAGGAGCCGACCTTTACTCTTTAATGCGAGGGCACTCCTCCCACATCACAGATTCCTCAGCCTCTCCATGCTTCTAGAGACCGTGCAATCCAGCCCACAAATTACGACCAGACACTGCCTCCAACTTCTGGGGCATATGGCTGTGGGCACATTGGCTATAGCTCATGCCAGACTGCACATGAGATGCCTTCAACCATGGTTCGGTTTACAGACCAAAGAGAGAGAACATAAAGAAACTACTATTGATGCCCATCAAGGTCAAACAATCCTTGGATTGGTGGAAAGACCCAAAAACTACTGCATGGGAATCCCATTTGTTCGGCTTTCCCCATCGTTACTCCTGACACCAATGCATCCCTCGTAGGATACATCTCGACGGTCTCACACTGCAGGGCAAATGGTCTCCATCAGAGATGTGCCTTCACATCAATCTACTCGAACTGCGAGTGGCCAGAAATATGTGTGCTCACTTTCTCCCGCTGATCAAAGGCACACATACAAAATTCATGATGGACAATATGGCCTGCATATATTACATAAACCGACAAGGAGGCAACAGATCACCCTCTCTGGGTGTGGAAGCACTAAAGCTATGGAACTGGTGCATTTCCCACAATGTCACAATATCAGCGGCCTATGTACTGGGAGCGCACAACATGACAGTGGATAGTTTAACCACAAATTACCTCATGACCACAAATGGGAGATTTGATGATACTCCACGACACATTCTGACAATGGGGGCCACAGACAATAAGCTTGTTAGCCACTTACCAGAACAAAAAATGTCCACAGTACTGCTCCAGAGCAGGGATCGGATGCACATCATGGAAGACATTCTCTTCCTCTCGCGGGACAAGGGCTTTCTTCACACCTTTCCCTCTATTATTGAAAGTTCTCTTGAAAATAAAGAAAAAGTAAACATCATACTGATTGCTCTCACCTGTCCGAGACAGACATGGTATCTTTACCTGTCACAACTGGAGCTATGTTCACCAATGACTCTTCCAGTCACTCCTTATCTTCTATCGCAGAATGAGAGGCACACTCTCCATCCCAACCTGAGAATACTGCAGATCTGAAGATGTTCAGAAAGTGTTACTACATGGTAGAAAAGTAGCTACCTGTTGTACCCACCTACCAGACGGAGACTAGATTTTGAATCTGGTGCCAGCCCTAAGGTGTCACCCTTGATATAGCCCCTCTACCTGTAATCCTAGATTATCTGTTGACTCTCAAGAAATTGGAACTCTCTATTTACTTGCTGAAAGTACACTTAGCAGCAGTTGCGACCTTCTACCAGGAGATAGAAGGGTACTCAGTTTTTCCCACCTGACTACAAAGAGGTTTCTCAAAGGCATAGTGAATGTGATTCCTCAACCCAGGCATCCTACCCCCACAATGGGATCTCAACCTAGTGTTAAAAGGACTGACCAGATTGCCATTTGAACCCATGGCCTCTTGTTCTTTAACTCACCTTTCCATGAGAACGGCATTCCTGATCACCATCACCTCTGCAAGAAGGAAAGAGGAGATAGCGGCTCTGACAGAGCATTCCCCCTTCACAGTGTTCTTCCCTGACAAAGTCACGCTTAGACTACATCTGAAGTTCACTCCCAAGGTGACTTTCACATTTCACATGAACCAAATCATTCACCTTCCGACCGTTTATCCCAAACTTCATGAGGATAATAGGGAAGCCATCCTCCATACACTCGACGTCAGGACAGGACAAGAATTTTTAGAAAACCTCTGAGACTTTCCATTGCAAATAGGTTAAAAGGCACATCTAATTCAGCTCAAAGACTCTCCAAATGGGTATCTAACCGTATCAAACTACGTTACCCAATTCGCAGCACAACACTCCCATCTTCAATATGCACTCATTCTATGAGATGGGTCTCCTCGGCAGTCGCCTTCTCCAAGGGTATTTCTATATCAGAAATCTACCGAGCAGCTACCTGGGCATCTGCGCATACCTTCACAGAACACTATGCCATCCTGGGGGACTCTACCATAGATGACAGTTTCAGTACTATCATCTATGACAGACTCAACTCCGAAGCCCCAACCTCCGGTGGGGAGCACTGTTCAGGAGTCACCTACAGCGGAACACCTATAGGGACACTATTCAAAGAAGAGGAAGTTACTCACCTTGTGCAGTAATGATGGTTCTTCGAGATGTGTCTCCCTATGGGTGCTCCTCCCCATCCTCCTCCCCTCTATTTCTGAGTTTCTTGTCATTGACTCTGTGGTAGAGAAGGAACTGAGGAGGGTTCACCCGTGCACGCTGGCTAGCTTCATGGCAGAGCACGGGAAGCAGCGCATGTGCAGGCTGAATAGACACTGCTACCAAAGTTCTCCAATCAGCAACTCATTTTTTATTAACAAATAGCCATGGTAATATTTGGAGGGGCATTACCGTCCTAGGCCCAGATATGCACTAGTGATATAGAAGTGAAAATATCTATTGTTCTTATATCGCGTAGCCTGCCAATCCTCCTAAATGAAGTGATTCTAATGATTCAGGCATTCAGTATTTTTTGTCATTCACTTTTGTTTTATTTGTTTCAAAGATTGAAAAAGAAGTAATGCAAGAGGCCATTTTAAAAGCAGTCGAAGAGGAAAGGAGAAACATGGAGAAAATTCATGCAAAAGAAAAAGAAATATGGCAGGCCGAATGTGTCAAAGACAAAGAAAAGATTGCTCAGGCTGTGCAGGAGGCTGTGCAAGAGCAGAGAAAAACCAGTCAAGTGAGTACATTTTACCTTTTCATAGATCTGTTTGTGTTTTTTATTGTTTCAAAAGCTATGTTTAAACTCCTCTGAATGACTACATAATGTTTAGTTAGATCCTTTAAAAATGTAAACATTAAGTTTTTATCAAAACATGTAAAGGGTTCTAGGCACTTTAACAGCATATTAATTACCATAAATATGTCTGTCTTTTGTCAGGTCTACGTTATTATTTATACTTAGAATTCAACATCAAATTTCTTTCTTTTACAATGGGTTAGAATTCCAGTGTCTCGTTATTTATACACCAATTATTCTAAGGTACCATATAGAATGAAGACAGAGAAAGCAATGGAGATTGGATGGATGAAAAAAACAGTGAATAGTGAAACTTTTCTAGAGAAATTCTTAAGCAATATTAATGCTCCGATGAGGGTTGAGTGTGCGTTACTTATACAAGTTGAAACAGAGTCTTTCCCAACCATGCTTTAAAGGAGATAATAGCAACTACAAATTAAATATGTTGCAATAATGGTTATACATTCTTCCAAAAACCATGTTGTCTCGTCCATTATAACAACCTCTTTTTTTCAGTAAGCAGCCAAGAAATCTACTGGATTTTTGGCATCCTATTTTAATATTGGTCCAAAATGTCCAAAGAATAACTTTGAATAAAATGAATTTAATTTAGATGTTGAATTTCTAACTTTTTACCATGATTTTGTAAACCCTACATAAGCAAAAACAAAAACATTAGCTTTTAAAGTGCGATAGACATACTTAGCAAGTCACAGCAAGTCTACAGAACATATGTTAAGAAACAGGCTGCATTTTCCCTACATACATTCTCCTCTTTCAGTTTAACTAAATATCGTATTCTTCTTCATTTCCTGCCCTAAAGTTGTACAAAATTATGTGCTATGTTATTAAATAAACTGGTAAATAAAGTGATTCCTGTATTATATGTACATAATTTGTATGTGTTTGGATAAACAACACAAGTATATAAGATATCACTATAATAAAATTCTGGAAGTCAAACGAAAACATTTTTCCTGCTGAATTAATCTGGGTGTGTCACACATAAATTGACAGTTTATAATCAGTAGATGTTAGATGGAGCTTTAGTGTATCATATTGGTCAACTGAAAGTCAAGTGGTAGATCTGGCACATCTTGCAGATTACCTACTAGGACAGGCAATTAGTCTGCTAACATTATGTGTCTGAGTACAGGCTTCCGAAGCAGAACCGTATTTGACATTCAAATTATTCCCTCATTATGCTTTATTTTTTCGGCAGATACAAGCAAAATTTTATTTTCTTGCCATTGCTGTTTACAAAGGATAACCACACTTAAGTCCTTTCAAAGATAGTAAAACATATAAACAATCTGTGAGCACCTAGATCAGAGGGCAAACTACATCCGGCCCAGCCCCTGAGCTCCTGGCCCGGGAGGCTAGCCCCCGGCCCCTGCCCCGTTGCTCCCCCTCCCCTGCAGCCTCAGCTCACTGTGCCGCTGGCGCAATGCTCTGGGTGGCCGGGCAGCGCAGCTGCAGAGGCGCAGCCTGACCCAGTGCTCTGGGCAGCGCTCCAGGCGGGGGAGTTCGGGGTGGTGGTCAGGGGGCGGGGTGTGAATGGGGGGGTCAGAGGGCGGGGAGCATTAGTGGTTGAAGGGGACAGGGGTCCCAGGGGGGCAGTCAGGAAGGAGGGGGTGGTTAGATGGGCTGGCGGGGGACAGTGGGGGGAGTCCATGGGTGGACAGGGAGCAGGCGGTGATGGATGGGGTAGGAGTCCTGGGGGGGCTGTCAGGGGGCGAGAAGAAGCGGGGATTGGGGGCCGGGCCATGCCTGGCTGTTTGGGAGGCACAGCTTCCCCTAACCGGCCCTCTATTCAATTTTGGAAACCCGATGTGGCCCTCACGCCAAAAAGTTTGCCCGCCCCTGACCTAGATAAAGAAATGATGACAACTGGCATATGATTTAATTGTTTACACTCTGTTGTAAAGTAAGGGCATCCTTAAATCTTTTCAATACAGAGAGAATATTTATGTTGAATGTTGCTTCACATGCATCCGTCCTCATTGGTTCGGGGTCATCACCTCCAGGCTTGATTTTATTATTATGCTTTGTGTCCTGGAAAGAAACTGCTGAGCTTGATAAAATAAACAAAAAACATCACTTCTATTTGGTTACAGGCTGCTCAGAGTATAGTACCAAAGCATTCTGCCTCTTTTCATTCCTAATTAATACTGGGTCAAATTCAAAGTTTTAGTCCTTCTCTTCAAAGCCTACCAAGGATTCATCTAAGTTACCTTAGATACTACCTCACTTGGTGTGATGTTGACTTCCGCCAGGAGCTACCTTCCTTTGGAACAATGGAACTGTCCGCCTCAAGAGTGAGACTTGTAAGTGGAGGAGACAGAACTTTCTCTGTGACTGGCACATATATCTAGAACTCAATACTAGGAAAGATCAGCATGAATATCACTGACAAACCCACTTCTTTTGCTTAGCTTTCTGAAATTAACAGCAAGGGAAAGAAATAACATAACCTATCTGTTGGGAAATACAAATATATTTGAATACACTTTTTCATAAATTTGGAAGGTGTTCAATATCCTGGTGGTGGATGCGATATGAAAAACCTAGATACATATAGCCATAGAGATTTTTATTGTGTTGTAATTTAATATGAATAAATGGTCCAAACTGCAAACTACAAGGAAGAGAAATGAAGCATGTCAGTTAAGGAGGTGGCGCATTTCTGCTCTAGCACAATAGTCAGCAAAAATAGAAGAAAAAGAGCCACTATAGACATCTCCAGTATTTAAGGTGAGTAGCAATGAGATTCTATGGCATGGAAGCATGACCCTAGCAGTGATGACTGAAAACAACCCAAGAAGCTGAAGACATTTGTAAATCTCCCAAACTTCCCGTGGGATAAAAATCCACCTAGAAGTAGAGGATGGCTGAAACAAATTTTGGTGTCATAAAGTTAACCCAGAGCAAGACAGTAGAAGCAAAAACCCAGAAAAATCCACAACTAGCCATGAAGACCAAGGAGATTGTGCAGTTGGGTGTATACACAGGATTAACAGTGGAAAAACAGGAATTCAGTTTTATCTTAAAACTGCCAAGGACCAAGAAAAAGAACTTCAGTCTGTGCCAGGCAAGTTAAAAGCTGAGAAGATATATACAAATGTGAAATGCTTAGAAGCAAAAATAGATTAACTAGAATGTCTGGCAAAGGAAAAGAACCTTGTCATAAGACATTTCTGAAGCATGTTTGAATGCTCCAAAAATCAATGGGATTATTGTAGTACTGGAGTAGAAACTATATAAGAAAGATGTATTAGATTGTATATGAGGGGGAGTAGCTCTATGCAGTACACCCCTACCCTGATATAACGTGACCCGATATAACATGAATTCGGATGTAACACGGTAAAGCAGCGCTCCGGGAGGGCGGGGCTGTGCACTCCGGCAGATCAAAGCAAGTTCGATATAACACGGTTTCACCTATAACGTGGTAAGATTTTTTGGCTCCTGAGGACAGCGTTATATCGGGGTAGAGGTGTATCTGTAAAATTCCAGAAAATCTAATGAGGTAAAATTTGAGTGGTGAGGATCATCCAGTATGGGTATAAACCTCAAGTCTTCAGAGTACAACTATGTTGGTAAGGTTGTACTACTGGTTTCAGGAAAAAATATACCAAGGCCCTGGATCCTTGTATCTGTCTGTCTTTGTTTTGAATGGGGAACTGAAGATTAAATAGTTTATTACATAGGAAATCAAAAAGTTGTTATATTGAAAGTGTATGAAGTATTGTATTCAGAGAATTCAGAGGAAGTTGCACAAGTTCAAAGAATTCATAGAAAACCTAAAATAAAGTCAGTTACTGTATTTATTCAAACTGCTAATTTTCACTTAAAGAAGAGCTCTGTCTAGCTCGAAAGTTTGTCCCTTCCACCAGCAGCAGTAGGTTCAATAAAAGATATTACCTCACCCACCTACCTTGTCTCTCTCATATCCTAAAACTAAACTCAGCTACGTCACTGCAGTTTTCACATAGAAATAATAAAGCACTTAGGATTCCAGTTTTGCTGAACTCAAGATAGTTATGTCCAAAGCTGACTGTGAAGAGTTACAAAGGGATCTCACAAAATGGGGTGAATTGGCAACAGAATGGCAGATGAAATTCAATGCTGATAAGTGCAAAGTAATGCACATTGGAAAACATAATCCCAACTATAGATACAAAATGATGGGGTCTAAATTAGCTGTTACCACTCAAGAAAGAGATCTTGGAGTCATTATGGATAATTCTCTGAAAGAAATCTACTCAATATCCATTGGCAGTCAAAAAAGCTAACAATGTTAGACACCATTAGAAAGGGGATATATAATACAACAGAAAATATCAAAATGTCATTATATAAATCCATGGTATGCCCAAAATTGAATATTGTATGCAGTTCTGGTGGCCACATTTTAAAAAAGATATATTAGAATTGGGAATAAAAAGTACAGAAAAAAGCAACAAAAATTATTAGGTGTATGGAACAGCTTCCATGTTAGGACTGATTTAAAAGACTGGGATTGTTCAGTTTAGAAAAGACATGACAAAGGTGGGATATCATAGAGGTCTGTAAAACCGTGAATGGTGTGGGGAAAGTGAATAGTGAAATGTTGTTTACCCCTTCATGTAACACAAGAATGAGGGTTCACCCAATGAAATTAATAGGCAGCAAGTTTAAAACAAACATAAAGAAGTACTTCTTCCCATAAGCAGAGTCAACCTGTGGAACTTATTGCCATGGTATGTTGTGGAGGCCAAAATATAACTGGGTTCAAAAACGAATTAGGTAAATTTGTGGAGGATGGGTCCATCGATGTCTATTAGCCAGGATGGTCAGGCAGCTGACCCCATGCACTGGGTGTCTGTAAACCTCAGACTTCCAGAAAGTGGGGCTGGACAACAGGATGGATCATTCAATAATGGCTCTGTTCTGTTTAT